ATAATCTTTACTAATACATTAGGGGCCAAGGCTATATTATTCAGTTGAAAATTGCAGCAAAAACAAATATAATGTCACTGGAATGAGTTGAAAACAATCTACAGTACTGTGAAATGGGAGCTTCATTATCAAGAGCATCTAACACAGCAGAATTGCAGAACAAAAAATAGCTTGATTGTTGTAGCATCAACTGTCCCTAACCAGAGGACAGTGCCTGAATTGCCAGGCAAGTGAAGATAAAATAAAATAAAAAGAATTGGTGTAAAGTCATATACATATAGTATCATGGGGGTTTGGGGGCTATGATACCTTCAGGATCAGACTCTGGGATTCACGTATAATTTTGTTCTCTGTCATGTTACAAGGGGGATGTTCTGATAAACAAGCTTTCCCAGGGGAGATGCCATAGGTTGTACATGTCTAGGAAGATGGAGAAGCCCATTCTGAGGGCAACTGATGAAAGAAGATGGTGCATATGGAGCCAGGAACACAGTCTGGATGTGGTGCTGACTGTCTTCACTCTCCTTTTCTGCTTGAACAACGAATAGCAGGGAAGTAGGGGGATGGCAGGTCTGGGGGAAACAGGACAGAAGCAGATGGCAGTTTGGGTGAATGTGAAGAGGCCGGGCTGAGGGGCTGGAGGCAGAAAGGCTGTGCCCCCCGACCAAGAAGCTGGACCAGCAAATGGGGGTAGGGAGGTTACCCATCAAAGCCTCTACTCAGCAATGAGGGGAAACAAGGAAGCAGGAGGGATTTCAAAGCTGCCATTCTGTCTTCTCCCCTTCCTCCGTGACTTATGTCTCCTTCCCCTTCCCCTGTTCACTCTCCCCTTTAGCATCCTCTGTCTGCCCCTGTGTGACAGAGGATATCAGGCAAGATGGACCAATCGTCTGACCCAGTGAATGGTTGTTCTTATGACTCCTGTCCTCAGTCTCCTTCTCTCAGCTCCATCACCTCTATACCCAGGACACCTAGCATGCCACCCTCCCATTCCCTCATCCTTCCTCCCTGCCCTACAGACCCACCGGCTCTCCTTCAACCCCCTATCCAGTGCTGTCCCCTGACCCCACGCACTGCTCCCAGAAGCCAGCTCTACTCAGAGGGTCCTGGCTTCAGCCTTATTGGAAATCCTGGGAGACAGTGGCCATCCTTATTGAGGGCAACCTCACCAGCATGTTACACTGCTCTGCAGTGGGAAGGGGAACCATCTTCCCTGCACATGGCAGGGCTGTGGGGGGAAGAGACTGTAGGAGACCATGGGGTCAAATGAGGAGTACCAGCTCGAGGGGAGATGGGGCTGGGATGGAAGGATTGTGGAGGAGAAGCAGGGGCCTTGAGGACCCTGGTGGAGGAGTGTATAGGGTTGTGGGGTTAAAAGTAGAGAGGAGGTGGAGGGAACATCTGTTAAAGCTGAGGAATGAAGGCAAGATCCTTTTCCTGCCAAAACCCTTGCTGAGCCAGGGCAGTTTGGGCACTGCAGGGATGAGATGAAATGGAATGGGGCAGAGCCCCGCACAGCCATGGGATGGATTCAGCCTGAAATGCCTCCTCCCCCAGCTCTGGTGGGACGTGGGAGAGTAGGACAGATATGAGAGGACACTGGTTGGGGGATAGACAGGGGTGACAGTGGCCAAAACACACAGCAGAGTCAGGGTGAAAACAGAGTGTGGCTGTGAGGGATCAGGACGAGGCAAAGTGGGGGAGAGACAGGCAGTGTGAGGGGCCATGGGATGGGGCTGGTGAGGAGAAGGCATGATGGAGACACAGGCCAGGATACAAAAAGTTAGAGGTGGCAGGGGGTGCCCCTGGTTCCTGGCTAAAGGGTCTTGCCCCTCTGCTCAGGGTCAGAGTGATCACCATATTGAGGGTCAGGAAGGAATTATCCCCACAGTCAGATTGGTGCAGTCATGGGGTGGGGTTGTTGCCATCCTCTGTAGTGGGAGTCATGGCCCTGTACCCAGGATCTCTTGTACCCAGGATCTCTTGGGCATATATTAATAACTTTTCATAGAAGCAGGACATTGGCAGCTGTCATTTCGCTGCTTCCCCTCTGGCAGGAGAGGGTGTTATGTGTTGTGCTGTTACTTTATAAAGAGTTCAGATTTTGTATTTGTACAGGATGGTTTGGATAGGGCTGGTCCTGCCTCAGGCAAGGGCTTGAACTAGTCCCTTCCAGCCCTGCTTCTCTGTGATTCTGTGACTCCTGGTCCCTCCATCTCTAATCCTTATTCCCTGCTTCCCACCAAGAGCAGAGAGATGGCATTGTTGCTGGGGAAGCTGATGGCAGCTCAGTCATGCAATTAGCATAATTATACAAAACCAGAACCAAAGAGTCAGCTCAAGGGAGACTTCCCCTTTCTCTGATTCACTGACTTCCCCTTTCTCTGAACTGTTGGAAATGGCCAGCTTCTAAACTTATCCTGTTGCCATGACTGGAATCCACAATGCCCCCAGTGACGTGTCTTTCACCCAGTCCCAGATAATAACAGTTTCTGCAGTGTCACTATATGAGAATGACCTGTCCCTGGCCCTCAGCCCTTATGCTTCAGGCAGGAGCGGAGCCCAGCTGGGATCAGAAAAGAACCTCCCTTCATGGCTGGGGACGCCATGCTCATTGTGGTACAATGCAGGACTGAGGCCTCCTCAAAGCATCTGATATGCCAGGCGGCAGTTTTTCCAGGCTGCTTGGGGCCATGGCACCTAGGGCTTCTTGTATGAAGTACTGCAATTCCCCCAGTAGAGCTGGTCTCTGTACTAGCAACCTAGGTGTGTGGCTGAAGGAAACCCACTGTAACAAACCCCTGCAAGTGTCAGGCACGATCATTACAAAGTGATCAACAAGGCTAACTGCACTTTATCATGCATTAGCAGATGCATGATGAACAGGTCCAGGGAGGTGATGCTTCCCCTCTACGCGGCACTGGTCAGGCCGCAGTTGAAGTACTGCATCCAGTTTTGGGCACCATACTTCAAGAGGGATATGGAGAATCTTGAGAGGATTCAGAGGAGGCCACTCATATGGTCAGAGGCCTGCAGGCAAGGCCCTAAGAGGAGAGACTGAAGGACCTAGATCTCTTCAGCCTGTGCAAGAGAAGGCTGAGAGGTGATCTTGTGGCTGCCTATAGATTCATCAGGGGTGGGCAGCAAGGAATAGGAAATGCTCTGTTTACTAGGGCACCCCCTGGAGTAACTAGGAACAATGGCCACAAATTAACAGAGAGCAGAGTTAGGTTGGACATTAGGAAGAACTTCCTCACAGTAAGGGTTATCAGAATCTGGAATGGGCTTCCAAGGGAGGTGGTGTTTTCCCCTACCTTGCGGGTCTTCAAGAGGAGACTAGACAAGCACCTAGCTGGGGTTGTTTGACCCTAGTCCTCTTTCCTGCCCAGGGCAGGGGGTTGAACTCAATGACCTACCAAGGTCCCTTCGGACCCTAATATCTATGAATCTATTACAGTCAAAGGGGAGGTTTCTCACTTTTATATAGAAAGTCCTAGGTATTAGGGTCACAAGCCAACAAGCCAAAGGGAAAGGACAAATACAGGTAAAGAGTCATTCAAAGTCTAACAGCAGCAAGGTTCTTCATGTTGTGTAGTTTCCACTTCAAATGGCTATACCCTACACTCCTGAAAGTATAACAGCATACACTTAAAGGGCATGTAAACAGGTTGTGGTCAGTACCACTGGAATATATACATTCAGCACATGCAGTCCCTCCCCTCACCTCCAGTTTTCCCAGACATGTCCTCTTTTTGGACCCTCCAATCTCCATCCAGGCGGTTTTTTGAAATATGAACCAGTAACCATGATTTTGCTTCATTCTACTGGTGGGAGCAGAGAGAGGGTAATTGGAGGCAGCGAGCACCTGTGCATTTGCACAAATGCACATAGACATGGCCGGCATGCAACCAGGCAAGGTGGAGTTAAGCAGTATCAGCACCTGGATGCAGGTAAATCTGTGGGGGGACAGGGATTAGAGGGCCAGGGCTGTCTGGGGGGCTGTGGAGGTGGGGGGGTACATGTGCGTGCATGCATGCATGCATGCGTGTGTGTGTGTGTGTGTGTGTGTGTGTGGCAGGTTGTGTGGAGGGGGATGGGTGTGTGAGGCAGGGCAGGGGGCAGCTGGAGCTTGGGGAAGCTGACCTGGCGCTGGGGCTGGGGCAGGGCAGGGAGGACAGGGGGTAGGCCCCTGCCCCTCCAATGGGGGAAGGGGGCAAGGGGGCCTTTGAAGGAAGTGGGGAGTTCCATGGCTGAGCCAGCAGCACCAGGCCAGTGACCTTGCTCATGGGGCCAGGCGGGCCAGGAGACACTACCCAGGGGGGAGTGGCTGTGGTGCTGGAGCCCTGGGCTGGCAGTACCACAAATATCCTCTCTTTCCTCCCACCCATGCCACCAGGGCCAGACTGGCTCCACCACCTCCTACAGGAATTGGAGTCACCACACTCTGGCCCAGTTGGAACAGGGGCAGCTGGGGGCTCGCTCCAACAGGGCTGAGGGGGATGCAGGTCAGGAGTGAGAGGCACTGACAGGGCCAGGGGTTTACAAGTCAGGAGTGAGGGTCAGCAACAGGAATTGGGGGACTGCAGGTCAGGACTGAGGGGCACTAGCATAGCCTGTGGGGGTGAGGGACTATGGATCAGGAGTGAGGGGCACCGGCAGGGCCAGAGGTCTGTGGGTTGGGAGTGAGGGGCAGCAGCAAGGACAGGGGGGATGCAGGTTAGGAGTGAGGGGCACTGTCTGTGAGTTGGGAGTGAGGTATCCCCCTCGACAGGTGTCATCTTTTTTGAAACTGGAAATATGGTAACCCTACTACTCAGATCACATTTCCATTGCACACAATGCATTACATTACACAACATAGATGCTACGCCACAACTCCTGCTCCTCATGTGGAAGGGAAGAGACCCTGCCAATCTGCAGATGAGGATGTGGTTGGCTGGAAGTTACAGAGATCTGGATCTGCTTTAACCACAGCAGAGAGTGTAGAGAATAGCATGTGATGGGGAAGAAATGCACTGAGAGCACTGCTGGCTTCCTATGGCCACAGCCCCAGCTCACTTCCTTCTTTGGGCTCTGGGACGTCACTCTCCGTGAAACTGGGGACTGGGGTGTTGATAGTAGCAACAAGGTGCAGTGCATCCAGCATGGCGCCAGCTCTCACAATCCTCCTTCTGGGTGAGTTCTAGAGACATCCAGGCTACGTGCCTGTGGGACAGAGTGACATGATATCAAGGCCTGTGCCCATGTGGGAATTTGAGAGGAGGGCAAGTATCCATGGTCTAAGACCAGCATCTGTGTTTATGGGTGGGGGGCAGGAACCAGGGCATGTGCCCATAGGCGGGGGGCAGGAAGTGTGGGTCTGAGACCAGTTTCATGTGCCCAAATGGGAGATTGTATCCCTAAGACCAGGATTTGAGGGAAAGGTGGGAACTGGAAGACAGCAATTCCTGTGGATAAGAGCCCTGGAGCCTCTTCCCTCTTAGTTAAAACAATTTGGGAATATCAAGGGGGAAACAACATACTGAGTGAAAGTGCTTTGTTTGCTGGGATCTGGTCACTAATGAGCTATTTGCTTTCCAGGTTGCTGGCTGGCTTCTCAGAGCAGGGTGTGGGGAGGTGAGTAACACTGATTCCCCACCCTACATCACACAAGAATTTCTCCCCAGAGCTCAGGCCACATCTCCTGCTTCCCCCCTGTACCCATGGGGGTTATGGAGGAATTGTAGCAGGGCCTGGTTCACAGCTTTAAGCAGCAGAGAATCCTGCTCACACTGAGCTATGTTTCCAGCCAGCCATGGATAGGTACTGGAACCTGAGTATCCCAGTCTGTACCAGGGCTCTGGGCACCTCTGATGTAGTCTAACAATGCTCATGGTTTGTGCTGGTCTTATACCATACCTGGCATGGTCAGGGCTGGGCTTGGGCTACCAGATGCTCTTGCACTACAAATCATAGGTAACAATACTCTGCAGTGCAGCAGTTGGAGGTCACCCACCATAGAGTTGACTTCATTTGCTCCAAACCCAGAGCAGCAGGGTCCTCGCAGCTTGGTTTCTCTGCTGGCTTGGCTGTGCCTGCAGAGCTGTGAGCAACCAGACGACCTCTGCAGCAGCCAGGACCTGAGATGAACCAAAACAGCCACTGGTCAGGCACAGTTCAAGGAGGGCATGGGCTGGAGTCCAAAGGAGGCAGAGATTTAGACAGAGGGCTGGAGCAGGGGAGATGGGTTCATGTCTGTCCCATGTAATTATTGTCTCTCTTTCAAAGCAGAGCAAAAATACCCCAAACCCTTCATCTCTGTGATCCCCAGCCAAGTGGTGTTTCTTGGGGGAGAAATCACCATCCTCTGTGAAGGTTTACACCATGACGTGAAGTTCTATCTGTACAAAGATGGACGTACACCCTGGTCACAGCAGGAAGTACGTGGGAGGAACGTGTCTGAATTTCCAATCATCAACATGAGCCAGGAAGACGGAGGAAGCTACACCTGTGACTATCACCCCATAACAGCTGAGAACCACTGATCGCATCTCAGTGACCCTGTGGAGCTGGTAGTAAGAGGTGAGGGGCCCAGCTCAACATCCCCAGTCTCTGCCTCACCCTGAGCCAGATCCTCAGCAGGTCTCCATGCTGAAGACTGATGCTCAGAATGTGGCTCCACCCTAAGTCCTGTAAGCCCTGGAAAGAAGATGTTCCTTGTCCAGGGCTCTTCCTGCTCCATATTTCCCTCTACACCCCAGGGTCAGGGGTCCTCCCAAGTGGGAATTACAGGGCAGGAAGAACTTTCTTAGGGCTATATATTGATTACAGAGTGAGGAGAAGATGTGTGTGGTATTATATCATAGCACATGTATTTACTATAGGGCAGAGCTGCACAACCCTGCCCACAAGCCCACGTGGAAATCTGAACACAACCCAGGTGTCCTGACTCCCATCCCGGTGCTCAAACCAACCTACCCCATCCTGCCCAGAGCTGTGAGTGGAGAACAGGAGTGCTGGAATTTGGTCTCCTTATTGTACTCACTTTGTTTATTTAGCATAAGCAGTTTCGGTATATTGTTTCAACCACCTTAAGGCAATGTTATCACCAGTGTGAAGAGCTTGAAGGCCACCAGGTAGCATAGTAAATGGACATGAGTCAACAGTGTGGGACGTGGTTTGAACTTGACAACAAATGCCCTTGTGGACATTGCAAAGACCCCATTGCTATAGGTTTGAGGCACTGTGGCTCTGTCCAGTTCAAAAACGGTTGAGAAGTGCCCAATAATGACATGGCCAGTTAAATCCCGATTGACTAATTGTAGGATCAGAGATGATGTGGTGATTGGTTGGTGCTTGTGCTGACCATTCTTTGTGTGATCAAGTAAGTAAGGAAAAGTCAAATGGTTTTGAAAGGATGGACTATATTGGACATCTTGAAGGAACTAAGCTATTGGTGGGTAGAATATGGCCCAATGCACTGGAAGCGTGGAATTACCATGAAGTCTGGCTAGTAAATTTACTTAAGCATTTGTGTGACAGACTTGAGGGGGAGCAATATTACTGAGGACTAGTAACCATGGGACTGGAGTGGGGCACAATGTGCCTAACACAAGACTCATTGTAACATGAAGCTGGGTGCCCACTAATTAGCTGTATGATGAACTAGCTCATGCAGGGGCACAATATTCTGCAAAAGAATAACACAGTGGGATGACAGATGAACACAGCATGGAGGTATTAGCACCCCAAATGGAGCCTGTGAGTTTGGCAAGTAGGTTCTACTCACTGAACACCAGAGACCTAAAAATACTGTCATTCTTATGCCCACTGCAGGTGTGTCTACACATGCATTTATGCCAGCTTTAATTTACTGTGTTGTAAGTGGGAATAGGCTGGCACCTACACATGTAGGCATTAAAGCACATTAATACTGTGCATGAACTGACTTGGGACTAAAGTTAGTCCCAAATCAGTCCACATACACAGTGTTACTGTGCAGTAAGGTGTCTACACATGTGTTACTGTGCAGTAACTAATCAGGTGTAAATTTGATACCTGCATGATGCAGGTATCAAATTGATACTCAAGTTAGCATAAATCACCATATTTTCTGTGCAGTATGGGAATGCACGTGTAGCTGTGTGCCCGTACTGCGTAGTAATTTCAGTCACTGCACAGTAAATGCACATGTGTAGACGTGCCCTGTGTGTAGCAAGTACTCAATTCTCAACCCTATCACCAGCACAGCTGGCTCTGAGGTGTGTGTATATTCAGCAGATGGAGGTGTGAGTAATATGCATGCAACCCAGCCTGTGCTAGATTTAGTCTGGCTAGCTCAGGTGCCTGCAGCAGTATAAGAGAGGCAGCATTGAGGTTGGTTGGGTGAGCTGCTGGAGCATGAGCCCAGGGCCCCCTTGGCTTGTGCAGCCTACACTGAAGTACCTGCCCCTGTGTCCTATCTACTACAGGTGCAGAACAGGCTACACTAAATCTAGAGACACTTCACCTGTCCTTACTGGGCCACTCTAATTAAAGCACCCCACCCCCAGAGCACATGTTAAAAAGCCCAACATGGCCTTCCTTGGGGTTGGGAAAGCAGAAACAGCCTAAGGAAAACACCTGGTTCAGCAAGAACTTTCATTTAACCCCATTATGTGATCACTTAATGTGGGAAATGGGCATCAAATCTGGGGAGCACAGAGCAGTTAGAAGTAGTTCTTACAGACCAGGTAAAGGATGTCTGCTATAGTTTAAACTGATTCTGTCAAGAGAGTAGGACCACTCTGAAGAGAAGAGGGCCCTTACCACCTGAAGAGCATAAGGAGGCTGGTAGAGGGGACAGATAAGTATTAAGGAGCCAGAAAACTGTTGCCTGTGCTAAGTCCATGGTTTTTGTTGTGAAGTAAAATTCTGAATGTTTGTTCCCAGACCTGTCTTCTGAAGGTGTTGGCAGGTTTCCTTTGAATCTGAGGACTATGAAGTCAGAGATGAAGCGTTTGTTCTGAGACAAGTGTTCTTCCCCCTGGTATCGGGGGGGGGGGTTGTCCTTTATCTTTTTTGTCTGCAGGAGTTTGTTTAGAAGTGTAGTTATGGGTTGGGTTATTTTCACCATGTAGTGAGGGCATTTGGTGCACTGGAAGAAGTGGATCATGTGTAAGAGGCACGTGCTAGGATCCCTGGTTCTGATGGTTTTGTCATCTTCTTCATTTTTGATCTGTTGACAAGTTTTGCTTTTGTTGTTTAGTTGGGGTCTATTTTCATTTGTTTTTGTGTGATTAGTGGACAGATTGTTTATGGTGATGTTTGATTCTGGGGGTGTTGTTTGAGAGTGGGTGTATGGGACTGGGAATATTTCTTTCAAGGAGTGATCTTCTTCAAGTATAAATTGTAAATATGTAACAATCTTTCTCCTGACTGGAATGAGACACAGCAACTAGGGGTGTGGTCAGTGGAGGTTCTCCTTTGGTGTAATAGTAGGTTTGTGTGGGGTATTTGGGTGGTTCATTAAAAGCTGTGGGTGCCTCTCTAGTGAAGGGCCCTTGTTGTTTAAAGGGTAAAGGTGGCTTGTAGACTGCTGAGTCAGATGTCACATGCTCTCCTTAGAGCAGATGTGGTGGTACCTGAAGGCCTGACTTTAGATTACAGCTTTTTTGGTGTGCTTGGAAGGATTAGTAATTTTGGAGCGATAAGTGGTATGGTCGGGGGGGGGGGTTGTGTACAGTTTGTAGGATGCCATTTTGGTGTGCAGTACTGAACTTGGCATATTGTTGTAAGAGTATTCCAAAGAAAGGATGATGCCAGGGTGATAGTTTTTGAAGTTTTAGTGGAAATCGATAAGCAAATCCAGGTGTTCAGGATCAATAGCAAAGATTCAGAAGTACACAGCATTTTTTTCTAAAATCTTTCTTCATAAACCACTTTCTTCAAGTTGGCATATTGGGGAGAGTAGGAGGCATACTTTTTGGCCATTGTTTGGAGGAAGTGTCAACAGTTGAAGTTTCTTTGGGTAAATCTGATATCTTTTATTAGACCAACTAAAGAGTTGGAAAAATTTTTCTTAGCAAGCTTTCAAGTTTAAAAACCCTTTGTCAGCATTAGGGGTCTGCGAAGCAGGTCCTATTCGATTCGGATTCAGCCCAAATCGGGGACAGTGATTCGATTCCTTCATTCAGACCACTGTCCCCGATTCAATTAGGCCAAATCTGAACCTGAAGATTCGATACCGATTCAGAGAATCAGTGATTCAGAAACAGCTTTAAAAGTTCTTTCTACATACCTTGAGGTAGCAAGCGCAGCTTGTGAATGCTGCAATGCTGGGGTGCATGAAGCGTCCCATAGGAGTGGGCCCCCCGCCTCCCCGGACATGCTCAGCAGCAAAACCAAAAGTGGACCAGAAGTACTTCCGGTCCATTTCCAGGTCTGCCGGGGAGCGTGCTGGGGGGGCCCCCTGCGCCCCACCCCAGCTTGGCTGCAGGGGGACCCCGGGTGTAGGTATTACAAGTCACATCTACACGTTCATTAATGGGCTGTAATTATGACACATTAAGTTTAGTACCTGTAATAACGGGTACTAACTTAATGCACTGTAATTGGTGCTACTGCACAGTAGCGGCAGCACACACTTTTTTGTGATGCTAATGTGAAGTAGACTAACTCTACTGCACATTAGCACAGTTTTTGCCTACTGCACATTTAGCATCTTGTATAGATGCACTCACAGGGAGGCTGTGATGCCCTTGTAATGTAGGATGTTTGTGTAGAAGCTAGTGCTGTCCATGGTTGCCAGCATGACCTCCTTGGGAAGGTAGGTTATGTTGTGGATTTCTTTGAAGTCTGTTGTATCTTGTGGAAACATTCTCTTTGTGTGGTGAGTACTTTGTGGATGGTTGCAATGAATCATCACTCAAAGAACACATTTCACCGATCCAGAAACTGCCTTTGCCTAACAAGAGCACTCCACCAGGGAAACAAACCATATTCACATCATCAATGAGTCACCAGGGCCTCAGAACTTGTGAGGTCTCATCTGGAGTGTTGTGTTCTGTTTTGGGTACCGTACTTCAAGACAGCTCTAGACAAACAGGAACAACTCCAGAGGAGAGAGACAAAAAAGATTTGAGGTCTAGAAAATGTGACTTCCAAAGAAAGGTTGGAAGAAGGATTATTTAGTCTAGAAAAGAGGAGGCTGAGGGGGGATTTGTTAACCATCTACAGATACATGAAGGACAATTATACAACAAGGGAGTGATAGACTGTTCTCTGTGGCTACAAGAATTAACAATCTTATATCAAAGCAAAGGAAAATTTAGGTTGGATATTAAGAAGGATTTTCTAACTCTAAGGGTGCTTAAGACCTGGAATAGATCACCTAAGTTCTCAACCTTTTTAGACTCAAGGCACCCCTCAGAAAATGACAGCTCTTTGTTTACACTCATCTCTGAGGTCCCTTCCAACCTTAATTTTATTATGATTAAATACCCAGGACAAACCTACTACAACATAAAAAGGAAATCAGAAATCTTCACTGCCCACACTCCCTTTGCTGTCACATACCAGCCTAAATCACTGGAAAGACTATTAAACACCTACAACCTATACTGCAGAGAATTACACCTTAAATGACATATTCACAATCTGTTTACTCCCACTTTTCAAAAACTGCTGGAAAAAGCACTACCAAAAGCTCCTGAACCAAGAATCAACTGTGACTTATGAAACCATCAAATCCGTCCCACAGCATCCAGTAAGGGAAGCATTTGCCAGTCCACCTACCTCTCGAAGTCCACCAGGCAATAAAACAGATGAAGAATAACAAAACCTCTGGCCCTGATGGCATACCAACTGAGGTCTTCGAAGTTTGTGGGGAAAGTATGACCAGCAAGCTCCACACACAGTTTCTCAAAATCTGGACTGCTGCAGAA